CAACTAAACATTACCAAATTATAAACTTAAAAATTTGAAACGAATGTTTTTTAGCCAAATCAAACAACAAGAGTACTCACCACAGGGCACCCAATCTGCTATTATAGGTGAAAGTTAACCCCCCCTTTTATCTGTAATTGGGACCATTTGTAACGGGCACCCCCTCCAGTATTAATCGGTAGGTGCTAAGGAAGCTCTGTGCCAAATTTGACACTTTTGTCACGTCTGTAACGATCCGGCCTATATTTTGCACTAAGAGACCTGACTACTGGGAGCAAGCTGTCCGGGACGCTCTGGTGGCGGGGCGAAAAATCTACCCCACCCCCGTACCCTCGCGAACCTCAGGAGAATTTGCTCGCAGGCTAGGCTAGGCACGAGCCCCGACACTGTACGTTTCTCTTAGTCGCTATTATTCGACCGCAGTCATTACCCTCATCCGGAGCACTGTAACACAATTGCATGGTTTAATCGGTCAGTCGACAGTGAACAAAGACGATTCATGCTATCAACTGTAAAATTTAAACTGGAATCAAGGCCATAAATAACTCCTCTGCGCGCTGTGTTATGAGCTCCTAATGTAGTCTGCGTGGAGATGTTCGCTGGAGTGTTTGAAAGGAAAAATGGATCAGGGAACAGAAGAAAATTGAGCGCGCCAGATCGCGAGAGACCCTCCGGATATCTGTTGTCTAAGCAACAAACGTCTCCGTGCGGTTTCTTTAAGAAGCGTTTCCTTTTCTCCCCTCGAGCTCCCTCTGGTTCCATTTTTTCGCGCTCTTTCCGACTTTCTCGACAACCTCAGGGGAAAACGCTTGTTGCGAGGGTTAAGGTATCTTTCGTTGAGATTCTTCTGTACAATGCTTTTCAACTTAGAAATGTAATCATAGAAGTGCTATGGTTTTACCCTTTAAACAAAACCACTATGGCGGCAGCTTGGTATGGTGCTATTCGTTCGTTTTTTTTTGGTAGGATTGTGCTTTTCTTTTAATAGAGCTCAACTGAAAGAGAAAGAGGTGATTTTAACAGTAGCCTGTCCGAGGCGTTTATGGGAAATGAGAGAATGGGAAGTGACTGAGTGAGTGAAACAACAGCGTGGAGGATGAAGGTAGGCCGGAAGAGAGCGAAAGAACGCCTATGTCCATTTTTTCGCACAAAACCTCCTACCTCGTCCTCTATTCCGCGTTGTTTTTTCTGCTCTCTCGTTCGCTGCTCTCTCCACTCTCTGAACGATAGTGGAATGCCTGAAGACACGCAACGACGTTCTTGAGCGACACACGTGAACCGGAAGAGAACTTTTCGCATTCTTAGGCAGTGGTTTTGCTAAATTTTCTAGCAAAGCGTTCCTATAAGACTAAGGACACTAAACAATACAAATTTTTGGGAGCTTCATGGCCTCTTAAAACGGAATAGAGTTCACTTCCGGTTGGCGTACGTCCCTCAAAAACGCCTTTGCTTGTGTGTTGTGCTGAACATGACCATCTTTGGCAGAGAATGGCGTAACAAAATTTGAAAGTTAATATTGGCGGAAATCACCCCTCATAGTTAGGTGCCCATAATGCTACACGGTTTTCTCATTTGACACAGTTGGTGAAGCTGAGTAAATACTTTCAGGATACTTCACGTTACGCAACCAGCCTAGATGAAAAAATATATATATATATTCCAAATTTGAGTAAAGAAAGAGCTCTAGAAAACCATCGCTTTGCTTTGTATTACTTAGTCTTCACAAAAACATTTTGGAAATAATAACTCAACACTTTTTTTTAGTTGTATTATGTATTACCAGGCGCCCATAACTGTTCTTTCTGACATATTAAATTCGAAAAAATAGGATTTTCAATTTTCTTTGCCAGATTATGTTTGACATAGATACTTCAACGGGATAATTTTTCTGCCGGTCAAAATGAGGTGTTTGCAATAACGATAAAGAAGAAAAATTCTTATTCACACAGGAATTATTTCTCAAAAAGGGGCATCTTACCTCCAACGAACTGTTTCATTTTCTTTCTGTTAACTAAATTCGTAGAAACCTCCGAGAAAAAAAAAAGTTTCTAGAAAGCGCAGAATTTTTTTGAAATATCTTTCTGTTCTTTGTTTTCGTTCTCTTTGGCAAAACTCTTCGTCAGTGGCATTTCTAGTAAAAATCTTGTATAGTTAATTCTTAATGTAGACAGCCCTAAGGGAAAAAGGCCCTTAAGTCTTAACGCCTTATATTTTGTAGTAACTTGGTTACCAGATAACATTGGAATCCACTCAGACAGCCATACGTACGATAAATTAAAAACCAAACTTTATTTAGTTAGTGCAAAGTATAATTGTTGACCAAGTCTGTATGCGATTCTTCTCTACACTAAAATAAATATAAAATTGAAATACAAATATGGGATAACAGAGCATGCAGCGGTAACAGTAACGGCTATTCGGCTGAATCTACCAGTTTAGGATTTCTATAGCTATTTAGTAGGAAAAGTTAATCATGTTCAGATCTTTTTTACCTTATACAAGAGATATGTTGGGTTAAGCCGGCTTCAGGCTGAACCTGCGATCGTTCTTATGTTACGATACTAAAGACAGCGCCGAGAGGACTATGGACCAAAACGAAAAGTCTTAAAAAAACGGGCGACGAAATTAAAGTGCGAGAACTTTGCATCGCTCCCATTTTGTGAACCGCTGTAACATACTAGGTACTTGAAGTTCAGCAAGTACATCGTAAGAATAGATACTTAAGTCAAATTTCTTTAAATTGCAGCGAAAAAATCTGTTCGTAAATCAAACAACTGCTATAGAGAAGACTCGTTTTGCGCTAATTGCTTCTTCACAGCCTTTTGTTCCTTCTTCAGGTGAACAAGTAACATCGCCTAATGTCATTATTTCACAAAAAGACCTTTAGAAGTCTCGTCAAGGCACCGTAAACAATACTTACACTGAGAAAACCCCTTTAAAAGCAGTAAACAAAGAAATCCATTAAAACCCCCTCTTTTTTGTGCCGGAAAATGCTCTGAATGGCGTTCTTGATGACATTGCGCAGGTGAGGTAAACATGCTTACGTTAAGCGTGAAGGAACTACTCTAGTGTGGTCAACTTCACACACTCGTTTCTCTTCCAGTTTTGCCGGCAGAATGGCGGTTCGCTGGCTTCCTGTTGTTTGTGCTCTGGCTCTTCTGGTACAAGTTTCTCTTTCTATTCCAGAAGAAGAATTTGAAGACATTCAACAGGACGAACTTGAAAGTAAGTTGCAACCTATTTTTATTGATTTTTCAAGAAGGATAAATGTCGCTTAAGGCTGACACAGGTACCTTCGTTTAGGGATAACATAATTCAATAAGATAGGTTTGATTTTACAAAACCACCTTGTGCATAAATGTGCCTGCGGTCAAGGCTGGATTTTCTAAGGTCTGCATTAGAGTCGTGCACTTTGAAAATAAAAGACAGCAACTAGGTAACAAATTTTAATCTGACAGACGCTTGAAAGTATGGCAATAATTTGGTTTCAAAGCTCGAGTTAAGGGCATTATATAATAATAAAATTCTATTGGCGAGTGCATAAAACGCATATGATATGTTTATTGTACGATTATCTTTCTTGTGAATTAGACCCAGAAGAGGAAGAAATCAAGGTGCGTCAAAGGAGACAAAGTAAGAAGATGAGTACTAATTGTTTTTCACGCATACGCAAAAGCGAAAATTTGGACTCGTTTTGTTTTGTTTTTTTGCGAATCTATTTCGAGTTTTCTCTTTCGCTCACTTTTTTTCCTTTGCCTTTCTTCTTTTCTTAGCGGTTTTGCTGCCCACTTTATCGTCTTTCTTTTGCACGGAAAATTGTGGTTGGCTAACTTTTTAGAAAAGGAAAAATTTAATTTTCAAAGCGTAGTATGTAAACAGCGAAATTGGCGGTGGATTTTTCCCCAAAATGTTACCTTTTTTTTGAGAGTGTAACTCTGTCAGGATAGGCCAGAATATCCAAAACAAGGCATCGCTGGAAAGATCTATCTTTGCTGACGTTGGTACTAACCAATTTATTAACTTAAATTGAAAGTTAAATGGGTCAAGAAAGGAAAATATGCATCGTCCCATGTGGAACGATAACGACTAACGCAGTCGTCAAAGGATTAAGGTTATGTGTACTACACTAATTGCAGCAAAACAGTAACCACTGGGCCGTTGGTAAATTCGTATAAAAATCACATTCGAGTCTTAGTTGTTTGTGTCGTAAGGCAGAATGAATCGGGAATCGAGGTTTTGTTACACACAAAAAAATAGTTGTCGAAATTCTAGATGAGAAGTTGTAAAGTATTTTCTTGTCAAGTTAACTCTTTTGAACTCAAAATGGTACTCTTTTGACGCATTTCAGTAAACACTATGCAGCTAAACACATAACAACACATCTTAAGTCAATAAAAAAGGGTTTCCTTCATAAACGTGCAGCTAAAACTAGCTGTCATAGTTAAAATATATTCAGGAGGATCTTTCAGCCCTGCCTCTAGTCATTTTGGGAAGGTAAGTTCCCATGAAGCTCCGAGCGCCACGTTAGCGCCACGCCAGGCGTATATATAACCGCCTGGGGTGAGGCAACACCCAATGCATGGAACGAGTAACCGTTGATTTCCGCTCCTTCTCTCAGACGTATCTCCTTAGCAAAACTGGCAAATTCAGTGTGCTTTTGTTGTTGTTTTTTTTTACGGAGGTAGGACTAAAACATACTTGTGCCACGTAAACGAAAATAAGGAAAAATGTTTGCTTCGCAAGTAAAATAAAAGATTCTTCTCACTTGAGGTTCGAAAATGCGCAGAATTGGTTTTTGTACTCTGAACCTTTAAGTTCAACTTTTACTCTACCTTTGTGACGCCCTGTCTGTAGTTTCCTTATCTGTATTTGGTAAAACCTACTGACTGAAATAAATAGGAAAATAATTGTACCTCCTTCTTTTGTTAGGTGGTTGTAAGGACTTGCTCGACTACTGCGCACTATGGCCAGACAGTTATTGTCAAACTTATAAGGATTACATGAAAAGTAATTGTCCAAGGAAATGCGGCTACTGCAGTAAGTATCCGAAATGTCAAACTTTCAGGACATGATGTGCGATCTGACTCGTCCCAGTCCTCTTTGTATTTGTATTTGTATTTTATTTTTACTCCATCCTATAGACAATACATTGGTTGTACAATATCAATTAGTACAAGGTTGATTAAACTACGTGTACATAATAAAAAAAGAAAGTTAGAATGGAGAAAGCCACATTATAGAAAACTAATTATGACCCTTTAACAGGATTGACTTTATTCTAATACAGCTTTCTTATTCATTAAAACACAAACACGCACGCACGCATTTTCTTTGCGCGTAACGTAGAGCAGGAGCAGGGGGTGCCCGCGTGCCATTAGGGAGAGATAACAAGAAACGACTGGGGACGAGTCAGGACACGTGATATTAGAGCTTTAACGAAACAAGAGGTCGCGGAGAAAATCGGCTTCCGTGAGGCACGCAAAAGGAACCTGAGTAATTTTTTTCCAAATTTACAACAAAAAAAGCAGTATTGTGGATTTCAAAAGAAAAGAATGGGAGCTCGCCGTCACAAGCGTCAACATAACAGCGGCTGTTATGGCCACGTTTGTGACCATTGAACCACGCATCTCAAACGCGTTGTCATTAAACAATTGCAACGTACGTTCTCCTGTTGTGGGCGGTGCTCACCAGCAATAGCCGCATAAGTACAAAATTTCTAGATATACTCGTCTTGTTCTTGTAAGCTTATTGATGCTGAAACTTCAAGAGCGAATGTTCTGGAAACACTCAGCCTTATACGGGTCTCTATCGGTTAGGCTTAATAGAAAAAAAAAGTAGCGCGACTAAATGTTAAACTCAGCGCGCACAACAATCCCAAGGGACTGATTGCACTCTATATATGGAGGTTCTATGCAGAGTTACTTGTTTGATTTTAAAGACGGTGGTTAACTACCGTGAATATCGGTCAGCGGTCAGCGAGAAAGATGAGGTAGGTACTTCATATAAAAGTACCTACCAAAGATGGCGGTAATTTTTGAGTTTCGTTAAATTTACAGTGAATTTAGCTCATGAAAGCAGCGTTTTCCTCTTATTTTCTTCTTTTTTCGTGTTTCAAATTGTCCTAATTCATCTGCATTCCATTATGGGTCTAACGACAGAAGGATCGAGTCAAGAATTTGTGCTTCAGTTTTCTTGCTGACCTGTAATTTAATTTTATTTAATGCTGATGTCTATCTATTTTTGAGCAAGAGTGAGTCCAAATAAGGATTATTGTGGTTGTTCGTGAATGTATTTTTCTCTTTAGTTACATACTTTTCTATTAATTTAAATTGTCTTTTTAAATTCATGATTTTTAAGGTGGTCCAACCAAACCGCCAGGTGAGTGTTTTCCTAATGGATGCTATAATAAATACGGTCGACTCTCGATAACTCGAACCCTCGCTAACTCGAACCAAAATCGATTTCCCCTGGATTTCCGTCATACATTCACTGTAATTTTACCGTCGGTAACTCGAACCCTCGATAACTCGAACTCCCGCTAACTCGAACCAATTTTCGTTTCCCCTCAGGTCATTTTCTGTATAATTTTACCCTCGATAACTCGAACAATGTTTTGAGCCCTTAAAAAGTCGCGAAAAAAGCCGTCTACTGGCGTTCCGAAACATTGAATTTTGGATTTCCTATTGACGCGTGGTAGGATTATAGTTTACTAGCGGAGGCTGATGTTGATTGTCACAGGCTAACGTGAAGCAGCTTTTCTTCTCAAAACAGTAAAACGCGTCCTCTATTTAGGCTATGTTTTTTTACGTCATGTTCTGATTTATAATCTAGAAATATCTTTTAATTTTCACCTGACATTTCTACAATTAAATGTGATTAAAATGTTCACTGTGCAGTAAAAACTGTTTTTTACCTTACTCTCGGCTATTTTCTTCGAACTCCATAAAACTCGAACCTTTTTTCGATTTCCCTTGAAGTTTCGAGTTATCGGGAGTCGACTGTATTGCCAAGTCATGCCATTTAATCCGCTGCTGTAGCAGGGGCACCCAACGACAACTTTCGGAAAAATATCTGTTCGAAAGACGATTTGAGATCTAGAATTTTCGGAACATTTGTTGTAAAATTTCTTGCCTGCCTGCCTCTCCTAGGATTTTCGAACATCTAAAAAATGGTAAAATTGCTCATTTTCAACGGATTTTTACCCTAAAAAGGTCACCTAAAATTTTCGGGAGCCTTTTCTCTGGCTGAAATTTTCGAACAGGTAAGTTTTGATCCCTATTATTTTTGGATCGCTAGACTTTCAGCTAGGAAATCCGAACAGATGAAAAATTTATAGGGGATAAAAATATGCCTAAATCCACTGTTTAAATACTAAAACACGTTTAACAATGCTATGTTTAAGTGGTTTTGGACTATATTCTCGTTGGGTGCCCCCTCTGTAGCCAAATCAGATTTTTGAAGCAGCAAGAAAGACAGATTATTTGCGTCAGACATGCCTTAAGGGGTCGATTCCTCACTTAAACGTTCGTTACCTCCCCAAAATACTGAACTTTACCATTGACATGGCAAGCTAATGAGTACCGGCTGCGTTACAGAAAATATTAAACTATCCCTCGCACTCGCGTTCGACGTTCGACTTCAGCCTCATCCCCCGAATGTCTAACCAAGAGGTCGCAGATTCAAGAGTGCTAAGAAACTCTGTGGCAAGTTTATCGCCATTTTCCGTTTAAAAGCGTGTCCAGAACTGAATCATAGACTTTCTTTGCTCTCACAAAATTCTGATAAAAATTTAGCCGCCATTTTACTTCGCCTCATAGGGTGCTACGCGGCGGGGACTTAGAACTGCCAACAAACACATAAAAAAACCTCCAAACAGACTTCCCGACAGATTCAAGATATCAGACGCTTTCAAGACAAAAATTGGTAGTTGCCCCGTGCGAGCAACAATTAAAAGGAAAACACCTCACTTCCGTTTGACGTCCGTCAATCAAAAATGCCTTTGCTTAAGGACGATGTTCTAAAGATTTAAAAAAGTTTGCCTTTTTTTTCTGTTTTCATAATAAATTGCAAATTTCACTTCATATCTCGTTTCATTTTCACACGAAGTGGCTTCAATCTAGAGTTTGTAGAACAGAAGAACGGTTTGAAAGTCTATCGGTGTCCCCTCTTCAAACTGAGCTGTACAGCCCCTGAAATGATCCCGACTACGAAATGATACCCATTTCTCATCACGTCGTCCCCGAAATGATCCCCAATTAATTTTAGGAACGGGAATGATATCCTAAAACTATGGATCGAGCACAATGCACAAGATTAATTTAAGTTTCACTAATAATCTTCACTTGCCCGCATTCTTTAATGACATTAATTTGGGATTACAATTTGAACTGGATTAAACCAAAATATTATTTAATACACAAAGTTTAGTATATTTTTGGTAACACCATGAACCGCTACTGATAACATCAAGAAACATAACATTTTCTATTATTAATAATTTTATTACTTAGGCCATTATAGCCCGGGTTATGTTAAACCTGCATGCCTTGGATAATGAACGAATTTTTAAAATGACGTTTTAACACTTTTTAATATTTTAAAATGATGTTAAAGATGAAAAAAAGTAGACTCAAAGGCGATTAGATAACAAAAGCGCTAAGAAATCACATAAACCGTGGTGAAATGTTAAATCCGATTCAAGAACGTAAACGCTGCAACAGACTTCCAATAATTTCGTGACGGAGTACAATTCTATTCCAAGAATTAATTGGGGATCATTTCGGGGTCGACGTAAAGAGAAACGGGGATCATTTCGGGGTCGATTTGGGGATCATTTCGGGGGCTGTACAGACACTTTTCTGTAATGTAATTCTCTTGAGGTAATTCGATCGCCTAAATTTTCGCTACCCTTCTTTCTATCTACTATCTTGCAGATTAGATTAAAAGATATACAGCAGTGTTAAAATTAACTTTCTTTTGTTTTAAAATTTTACTGATTATCTTCCATCTCCTAATGTAGCGTGTGCAGACAAATCCAGTCATTGCCGCGGCTGGAAAGACTCTGGGTATTGCAAACAGTCTAGTAAATGGCACAACTACATGAAAAGCAACTGCCCAAAGACCTGTGATTGTTGTGGTGGCAGTTGTGGTGGTGGAGGAGGCGGCGGTGGAGGTGGTGGTGGTGGTGGAGGTGGTGGTGGTGGGGGAAGTGGTGGAGTCTGCAATGGTAAGTAAACGAAAATCGTTTATAGTCAAGTTATCTTCAATCCTACGAACCCTACGAACCCGGGTGCAATACAATACAATACAATATTCTTTATTTAACGAAGGTGACGTAATAACCCAATAGTTATCTAACTTACGGCCTTCGCAACAATACAAAATACACATATAAAAACAATACCTAAACAGTAAACATACGACTACAACAAGAGAAAAAAATAGCACTAGACAAATGTATGGTTTAACATAGATATAAGATGATATAAACTAATTACCTTCTAATACAGTTACAATAAAGAGAAAAACGACAATCATAACACATTAACTTTTCAAGATGAGAAACGTTACTAGCAAACGTAAGGAATAAGATAAAGAGTTTATGCTTAAAATTATTTAATCTAGATGAAAAAATAACAGAGAAGAAGAAGACACATACGCTATTTGCTTAAGATCAGTGTCAAGGCAATTAAAAAGAGTGGCAGCAGAAAGTGTTGTAACAAAACTCAACCAGGAGCCCGTAAAACCCGCTGATTTAATATATATGTTTTAACTATTTTAATGGTTATTTAAGGTGACTCGACCCAGTTTTTTTGAGGGGGTACCATCCTACTTTGAAGCTCTCTGGTATCCCCAACTTTACTTTTATCGTAAGTCTAACACATAGAATGGGTAACATATAAATTAATCTACAATATAACATAAAATTTTTGGCGATCGGAGTAAACGTCACGTGGTTATAATGCCACGCCCCTTTGAGGTCTCAGTCGAAAATCTGCTGTTGCCGGCATTTTTTCGTGAAAATCTCTCGGCTACACATAGTGCGCATTAGTGCCTTGCGCTGGACAGAGTTTCACCACGCGTGCAGAACAAGAATGCTGTATAATGACAGACTAGAAACAATAGACAACTCCCAAAGCACAAAGTCAGCCAAAACGCTAAAAATCTTCAATGTTTACTCAAGTTTGGGCTTATAGAAGATAATGTCAGAGTTTTTCAATGACCATGAAATTCAGAGTCCGGGTAGTGAGTTAATCAATTGTGGCCCTGAAAAATTTGAAGGAAAAAAAACTACGAATTTTTAAGAAAATGCTTTTTTCGTGAGAAGGACTCTTAAACGCTGACAAACGTCAACAAATAGCGAAAACTATAATTTCTATATGTTTGCTTTGCTCGAAATCGCGCGCATTTACAAGGCCCTAAAGCGTTTTGCTGACTTGCAAGGCCCCATCTGTTATAACGATGCCCATAATAAAGGGATGAATCTCATCGTTTATTAGATATAATCCGTGTAAAGTTTGCTTATCATTTTCGCATAAATTATGACTTAAATTTGGAAACCGCTGAATTTCTCGAATTGGGTCTTTGCGATTTTGGTGAAACTCTGTTCAGCGCAAGGCACTAATGCGCACTATGTGTAGCCGAGAGATTTTCACGAAAAAATGCCGGCAACAGCAGATTTTCGACTCAGACCTCAGAGGGGCGTGGCATTATAACCACGTGACATCTACTCCGATCGCCAAAAATTTTATGTTATATTGTAGATTGATCTATATGTTATCCATTCTATGTGTTAGACTTACGATAAAAGTAAAGGTGGGGATACCAGAGAGCTTCAAAGTAGGATGGTACGCCCCCCAAAAAACTGGGTCGAGTCACCTTAATAGTTTCATGGCGTTATGTTTTAAAAAATTTAACGCCATGACTCATAGTCGAAATGACTCTTCACTTTTCTGTTAAAGAGACATATCCTGTAAGCTCTGTGGAACTAAAAAGTGCTCCATCTCTAAATCATTTACAAACCAGACTAGCCCATTTTAATACTCTGAACGCATGCAGAGGTTTTCCCGGTTGCCGGAAGCTACAACAGGAAATACGTCTGCGTAGCCGCTAATTTTACGTGCTATGGCCTTAATCAGGGGCACCCAACGGCAATTTTCGGGAAAATATCTGTTCGGAAGACGATTTGAGACCAAGAATTTTCGGAGCATTTGTTGTAAAATTTCTTGCTTGCCTGCCTCTCCTAGGATTTTCGAACATCTACAAAATGGTATAATGACCCATTTTTAACGGATTTTGACCGTAAAAAAGGCCACCTAGAATTTTCGGGAGCCTTTTCCTGGCTGAAATTTTCGAGAAGGTAAGTTTTTCTCCCTATAATTTTTGGATCACTAGACTTTCAGCTGGGAAATCCGAACAGATGGAAAGTTTTTAGGGGATAAAAATATGCCTATATCTACCGTTTGAATACTAAACTACGTTCAACAATGCTATGTTGAGTGGTTTTGAACTATATCCTCGTTGGGTGCCCCTGCTTAATCGTTCTTAAATTATGACTGAACATTCTGGATCGAACTCATCCCCTCGCTGAAGTGCCTGGGTATTTCATATGTCTTTGCTCTACATTCTCGATGAAATCTCCGAGCGTTACTTACTGACCAAAAGTATGCATTTAAACATGTTGGCGTTTACAAAACGATCACTCCGCTAAAGTATGAAATGAAAAATAATTGCGTTACTGACGCTCTACCGCCTCATTTTCTACTGATTGATAGATCATTCAAATAAAAAAATTGCAAGATTAACAGCTGCTCTGTGATTTCTCTCTCTTTCTCTTTCTAGTGAGTGGTGCAAGCTCCAAGGTAAAGGCCTGTTCATTTGACACTGATACGTGTGACTGGCATAATGTACCTTTTGATGATGATACAGACTTTGTTGTGCGCAGCCGCAGTAGTGGAGGACCGAGCAGTGGAGCGGGAGGTAGTGGTAAGTTGGGAACTAATGTGATTATATTTCATATTGCATAGTTAATGCACTAAAAATTTGGAATGCACATGGCGGGACGCCACTTAAAGGCGAGATATATGAATAGTAATTTTTCTTGCGTTGTGATTGGCTATACGAGAGAGTGAAATAGAGTTGAAATAGAGTGAAACAGAGTTTACTTTGTCCGCTGGGAATAGACCTTTCCCACATTCCTAGTGAGCAAACATGAACAAGGAAATGAGGTCGAGGCTCCTCGGATAGACAATTTTCCGCCCAAGCCTTGACCTGGTAACCTTGTTTCTTGGAATTCAGAGAAAGTCTACTGACGCTATTTTCACACAAGAAAAAATGTTGTCTCTTTCGCCCCATAATAAGGGTGCGTGGATATGAATGATTTTCCAGTAATCGGATACTCATGTTTTGCGCACAGGATTTTGGGATCGCCAGGGGGCAAACATTGCGAGTCGCTACAAAGAATTGTATGGCGTGGAGTTGTTTCTCCGTTAAAAGCAGTGTCTTTGGACATAAAATGCCGCACTTTGCCGTGATTTTATGAGAAACGGAGGTGACTAATGTTGGTGCGTTGAAATTTCAAGTTTCTGTGTGATTAATGCGTTAAATTCTATCGATAAACACTCCTTGCGTGAGGTTGAGTGTGAAATTTATGTTTACTGAATTTACACAGTGATCTATATGAAGAAAAGGTCTCGAAATGTATAGTGCAAATTTAGGTATACATGTAGGGGGATTGGCTCATTTAAGCTTTTTAGTTTTAATTACGTGTGGTGATATTTACAACGAGTGTAACTACGCTCGGCCGCGATCAGCTCTGTGCGGGTTATGACGCTCAACAATCGTAGGACGTGGCCATAAAAATAAAAAATCCTCCTTTACTTTGGTATAAACAAAGTAACATCTACGAAATATTTCATGGAAAGTACATGGTATTTAACCATTAGTAGATGACGCAGAAATCGTACGAACGAGTAAGATTTCGGATACAAAAGCAGTGAGTCTGTAAATAGATACCAAGTTGATGTGCGAAATTCAGAGATTCCATATCTTCCCTCAAATGATTAGAAAAGGCATTAGAACTCATTGGTGCTCTGGATCATGACAAAACATTCGCTTGTGTTTTTTGGCTAGAAGGAATCAATATACCAATGTGGGGAAGATGTTTTTGCTTTTAAAGTTAATACATATCAAATTCGACAATACATAAGCTTACCTTCGATCGTTGTCACAAACTGGCACAGCGTTGTGATCGCCGCCGAGCCGAACGTAATTACACTCGTTGTAAATATTAGCACATGTACTTACAACTGGAAAGGCTTAACAAATGAGTCCGCATTCCCCGCTCATTTGTACCTATCACTATAGTAAGCGTCTAATTCGTAATGGCGTGGAACAACCTTGTCTTTAGGGCATTTGTCCACTTTTTGAATTTTGAAGGATGAGCAAGACCTTTTTTTCAACTAGGAAAGTTTATTGTCCTTGAGGGTAATGGCAAGGCCCGACTGGTGATCCCCTTCGAACTGGTATTAGCCGACCATAACAGTGACCATGGCAAGATGTGCATTAGGTTTAACTACTACATGAATAGGTAAGTCATTGGTATCTTTTCCCTTTGTTATCAAAGCAATTGGTACCCTTCTCAAACATTGTGTTAGTGTCGTAATGGCTCGACTTGAAATACTACTGTCCAACTTTTGCAAAAATTCGATAATTTATGATAACATTAATTTATGATAATTTAGAAACTGAATTGAGTTTAATCATAGTTACAGTCAAACCAGGCCAAGCGTTCCCGTCGCTAACGGACTAATAAATTTTAAAATTAATGGCAAATTGTTTCCGTTCGTTGGTTCCGTGGTTTATTCACGAAATAAATAATGCAATATTCAAATCGAGCCTCGATTCAATAATCGAATGTTGATTGGATTAATAAACAAAAGCCTTGCCATATATGGACACCACGCTCCTCCCGCGCTCCAGTTGAAAAATGGCGGGCAGGCGAAACAGTTTGGGACGGATTTATGGCTCCCTTGTACGTGGTTTTTCTTGTAAGGAAGTTAAAGTCGCTTGGGCTAGTTGTAGACGGTATTCCAGCGAGCTTTTGCGGTCTTCAAGGTTTTGCAGCAGTCTGTCAATGGCCTTTTCACCGCCTTCACAAATGGAAACAGTCGCTCTGCTTGTTTCTGTCAATGGTGTGCATAACTGCTCAGCGTGACTACGGTTTTCTGGTGTGCAAGCAGCTTTACAAAATCATGACTTTTATTTTATCTCGGTTTTTCAGGTCTTTTATTTCGACTTCGACGAACTCTCCCAAATCCTTATCATATAACGCTGCAACGAAACAGTGCCCTGTACATGTATGCCAAATGTATCTTCCACTAAGTCTCTCTTGGTCGATCTTTCAGTGACTTCCGTCATTTTCCTGACTTCGTTCAAGTCAACCAAGACAACGATTTTGTCCTGAAAAGTCAAAGTTCACGGTTATTCTTAGTGCCTTCTACAGACTGCAAGAGGAAATGATAAAATACACAAAGGTTGCATGCATGCTTGATCGATCAAGTGGTACACTTTCGCAAATATTCACAACTGTTGTCAAATCGAAACTGCAAAAAGGAATCAGAGGAATCGAATGGAACAACGCCTGTAGAAAAAGTAAACAACATTTTATACTAATGGCGTGTTGAACTATAGAATAACCTACCTGCTCTATCACACTTAACTCCGGAGATATAAATAACTCCGCCATGTTCAGGTCACGCTTTTCCTAGCACTCCATATATGGCAAGGCTTTTGTTTATTAGTTCAATCAACATTCGATTATTGAATCGAGGCTCTATTTGAATATTGCATTATTCATTTCGTGAATAAACTACGGAACCAACGAACGGAAACAATTTGCCATTAATGAATTTATTAGTCCTTTAGCGACGGGAACGCTTGGCGTGGTTCGACTGTAATAGAGTGGAATGGTTATGAAGCCCGTCCGACTCATTTTATATGTTATATGTTTTTGTAGCTTTTTTGCGGACTTCACGGTGCACAAAGTTAAATAGCATTCCTATCATTTGATCTTAATGGCCAATAAAAACGTCGAAAATATGTGGGAAGCCTTTGATACGAAGATAATGTTTTATTCTCATGCAAATAATAATAGATATGAATATAAAAAAACAGATTTTAATTTCCACCACTAAAGAGCTTTTGCACTTGGTCTCATTTCAAAACCTAACGGGTCGATTATTTAAAGGACGTCTAACTTAGTCCGCGGTTTACGAAATCGTTGGACCTCCAGATCACTTCTTTAGTGGGTTATTTTAAAAAGATAAATGTCTTTCTAGTCTACACTATATGCTTTCATGAAACTGTTCACGATAAATTGTGTTTAGATAAAAGCGTTGAGCAAACTGAAAATGGTTTAGAACGGGTTTTGTTAAACACTGGCTAAACTCCGTTTATATAACAAAAGCCCAAATTTTTTAAAACTCGCAAATGTCCAAAGGAAACGTTTTACAGTGCTTACTAATTTCTCTGGCTGGTTTCTGTTTTTTTTTTTATGGGGCAGGGTCGTTAGCTCTACGCCAGACTTTCAAAATGGAGGACCAGAGAGTTTCTCTTTGTCGGTTAGCATTAGATAACATAGGGTGAAGGCAGATTGGACACCTTTTGAGGTTTTCACAACGCATTATTCTCTCAACGTAACGAGAACAGAACCCCACTAACCTTTTAGAATTGGTAAACAAACAAACAAACAAAGACTGCGCAGCGCCAGTTATGGAGAGAGCATACTAGAGAGTTAAGCAATAATCTGCAGTGATTAAGGTTAAGCACTAAACTGCGACGGTTAGCTTTCAAATGTTGTAATGGGATACGGCATACGTACACGTCTATTTTAAAACTTCCGGGATTTTTCAGCTATTCCTAGATGGTGTAGTGGATATGGATGTAGGTTATGATGCAAATGGCTCGGGCTCAAAGCATCCCAGTTCTGTTTATCTATATTATTTCATATCTCACAGCTAAGTTGGATTAAGTTTTTCGTATAATTTTAGTGAAAGAAACAACCTGGCCTCAGTCGATGTTACCTAATGTTAACCCTCTTTGTCTGGTATCTTCCCTTCGACCTTTTCAGCATGGGTTTAAGGAGTCACACTGAGACACGCAAACTGCCCCACCACGTCAAGGTTGTGACCCTATTCGTAGCATGGCCTTATGCGCCTATTGGTGCGACGACGATGATGATGATGATGATGATGGTTTAATCCCAATTACGTGCCAGAGAGCGGGGACGATAAAACTCTCCTAATTGTTTAGTGATCTACAATATTCATCCGTAGGCGCAGGTCCTAGAGAATAATGAAGACGTGGGACGATATACAGATATATGCAGTATCACCATGTTGTTACACAAAAATTCATTATGAGTCAACTATTGTGATCGTATAATTCTCGGTTTGCACTGTCACGCAATGACAAATAAAAATGCAAACCATTCAATACAGAACGTCTACAATTTGGGAACTTGCCAAAAATCAGGTCTGTGCAATATTTCAAATGCGAGATATTCCGAAAAAAGGTTTACCTAAATTTATGAAGCTTTGTATGGAAACGCCATGTTGGTGTCCCTTTCAGGGACAGCAATTTGGCCACCGGATACCAACAGAAACTTCTGTTTTCGAGTTTTCCTAATAATGGGTGAATTCTTCGCTTGATGAACTCATAAGGATTAAAGTAATATTTATTCTGAGACAAGGAATGTTGAGACAGCAAAATCTTCAAAATCAATAGTGTTTTTAACCCACATAAGGGCTCTCCTGGCCGTCAGCTAAATGCCGCGTCACGCAAAAGCCTGGAAATACAAGCGTCCTCTATCGCAAAACGAAGAACCCTTTCGAACCTAAGATTTGTTTACATAAAGGTGTTTAGGTGTTGCAATACCTCGTGAAAGTAGAAACTCAGAAGAATCGATAGTGCAAACCGAGAATAATGATGACGATTTTGTTTGCTGATCCGCAGTGGTACACTGGCGCTGTATTCTGTCAGGAATGCAAGGGGTTCCTCAAGAACCAAACTTAAACAAATGAGCAACTCTGGATCACAGTGGAAATGTGAGAAAGTACAAGTAGATGTCAGCGTACACTGGCAGGTAGGAAAAATAATGATATTGATAATGACAGACATTTTTGTCTGGCAATTTCTAGTAAAGAGTAGATTATAGACATTTCTACTGACCCAAAAAATGTAATACCTCAGACAGCAAAGTAAATCATAGAGTTGTATAAGGCGTTAAGAGCGAAGTCAATTTACAGTCAGCTCTCTCTCTTAACTGACACCTCTATAAGACAGACCCCTCGCTACAACGGACAACTAGTCCTTGCCTTTCTTTACTCCTTTTATTTGACTCTCTTTAAGACGGACATCTCTTTAAGATGGACACAGTACAGTGCCGGTCCCAAAGGTGTCCGTCTCAGAGAGAGTTGAGTTGTTAACCCTAATTTAAGCCCCAATAGTGACCCACATCGAATTTCTCCCAACAATAACACTGCTTGATCAAACAAAACAGGTTATGACAATGAATGAAATGATCACCAAAGATGAAATGTTGTGATGTTAGAACAAATTCTCTCAAGCAGTATCATCAGTAATGTATGAAGAAAAGTGTGGAGAAGATGCATGTTGATGTTAGGGCTTAAAGTGTTAAAAGGAATATAGAAAGGCAAGGACTGTAGGTGTCCGTCAAGAGAGAGTTAACTACAACGGAAAAAAAAAACATAGACAGTCAACTTTCTCTCAGACGGACACCTTTTGGGACCGGCACTATAGGGCCGTCTTAGAGAGATGTCCTTCTTTTAGAGGTTTTCGCTAAGAGAGAATTGACTGTAAGGGATTTATTGATTTTTTTACAAATCTCCTTTGGTTTTATAGTTGTTGTTTGAAGCAAATAAGAATGGAGGACCTATTGCTCTAGACGACATTAGTTTCACTGATAACTGCTGATCGACGACACCATTGAATAAGTAAGTAAATAAGTAAAAGTGAGGAAGCATCTTTGCCCATTATTTTGGCCCCTAGCATAAACAGAGAATATAAAATAAATGTCTGTGACCAAAAAATGGAACGTCAGTCAGGATTTGCTCTTATGGTTTTCATTATACCTGTTAACTTCTCTCGGCTGATTTTTAGCTCTGGTTAATAACCGGCTCAGCCATCAATAACCGAAGACAGCAGATGTAGATTTTAGTTTATTAGCCTGTCAAAACTCTTTGCAGTTCTTTTCAGGTATTCAGTATTTGACGAAGTTTAATCTAGGATTTTTGGTGAATTTTGTTTTGATGAGCCCTTATAAGGGGAAGGGTTGAATGTACCTTAACAGATGGAATGAATTCGTGCTCTCTCACTCACACTGACCTCTCATATAAGGCAGTATTACTTAAGTGTTTAAAAAATAAACGGGATTCTTTGATGTTTACAAGCCTATGGCTGGGTTTAGTTGTTTAGACCTATTTCGAGAGTCGGAAGAAAAGTGCACGAGACAATCCCGAAAGGTAATATGGGATATGATCATTACACTGTAGCTGTCGAAACTACTTTACTTACTTTCTTTTAGCATTAGCAAAGGTACGTTCGTGGCCGCTTGTGCCATTCTTTCAAATTTCTCTGAAAATCTGTGAACTCAAAGCCGACCACAATTCCTTTCGGTATTGTCGCGCGCACTTCTTCCGACAACCTTTCACGAAATAGCTGTATACATTGAACGTTCCCTAACAGTGGTTGTTTAACTATGAGTGATCTCTAGCTGGCATTAGATGAAACTAAAGGCTTAGAAGAGGTGTTTGCTTGCGGAAAGTTTTACTTTTAAAACCGAATTGTAACTTTTGGCTTTTTGAGAAGTAGTCTTTATTGTTTCCGTGTATAGATGATGCTAGCTCGCCCGTGCCTCCACTGATAAATTGAGTGTTTATATTGTGGGAAGCCGCGCTTAGACCTTAATGAAGTTAAATGGTACACTATTTACAAAATCAAACGTCTTGCTTCGTGCTATTAACGCACTTTCATTTGTTGTCTACAGGATTTAGTGCAATATCCACAGCTGGGATGAAGTGCTTTGATGAAATGATTAAATTCTAGATATAGAACCAATCTGATGTCCAGTGGTTTTATTTTCAACCCTCCATCTTTCTTGCTGATACATCCAGTAGCTACGTAATATATAGCTCACAGAAAAAAGGGAAGAAACTAACAAAACAAAGTGGGTTTGGTAATTTTTCCTCCCTCTCTACTTCAAAGTAAGACCCAGCGTACAACCATCCAACAAGTTTTAGCGGAGCTCTCGCGAAGCGAGCGCAGCGAAGTACCATGGGTAAGAAAATTGTCCGAGAAATTTTGGGTCTGACTAGAAATCGTCCGTACGTAGTACGTCCGTACGTGCGTCCACACCTTCATGTAAGCCGGGGTGAAATTTTGCATTTCAAGTACACGCGCGTTTCGGCAGTAAATCGTATAGCCACCCGGACTTTTAGAGATAAAAAACAACAACAACGAAGCCGAATCTTTCATTCGACTCAATTTAATGTCTACATTGGCGTGGACAACAGAGAAAGAGCCAGAGACAGAGATAAAAAAACAAAGGAGACCAATTTCGTTTGAAGATTAACATGACAATTTTATAGCGGCTGTGAGAAAACGAGAAATGCTAGCGGCCACCAAGGTAAAAAAGAGCGGCAGCGAAAAAAAACCCGAACAGGATGACATACAACATTTCCTCCATAAAACGTGTAACTAGGAAGTTTCACGTTGTCGTCGTGCAAAACAACGGCAAAGAAATTTACAAAAGAGGTGTGCTGCAAAGTTGTTTTTTTTTTTGTTAATTAGACCTATTATTTGTTTTTTGCTGTTTTACGTTGCTGTCGCCGCTTGATTAGCATTACAAGATTTTATTTTTGTTTTAGTTTCATTAAACTATGGATGTTGACGAGAGCTTCGCTTTTAGCCCTGGCTAAATTTATCTATTATTATTATATCGTGTCTGCAGTTTTCATTGTGGAAAGAGCTAGATCAAAAAATGCCCAACTGTCGTTTAGATCATAAGGTGCTTTTACTCCCCGGGAGTGAGGCGGTTTTCACCCTCTCTTGAGCAATTTGGGCTAGTAAAACATAGCTCAACATCTCCTTCTTCTTCTTCTTCTTCTTCTTCTTCCTTGACTTCACTCAACTAACTGTATGGGCTAATGTTCTCCTGTACTCATCGGCGCCTTTAGGCAACTTACTCATACATTTCCTTTTAGTATCTACGGTGTTTTTGAAAAGCTGTAATGAAAAATTTGGCCGAAATATTTTTGTCTCCAAAATTGCTCTGTATTTTACGCTGCAAGCTAGTTTGTCAGACAGTGCTTGACAATAGAATTTGCATAACAAAGATGCTAGTCTGTATTCGAATGCAGTGGTGACAAATCTTTATTGTACGAAAATCCTGCACTTAAACGCAGTTTGAAAACAGGTCTGTTTTCAGAACCGTAACGTGACGCGAAATCGTCATCCAAATATTTTTAATAAGTTGCATTTTCACCGTGGAAAACAGTCGTTACACTGATCAAGTAAGTGCTAGTTTTTTGTTGTTGTTGTTTCTTCTCAGTTCAGCTTTGCTCAATAACAAGCGGGCAGTTTGGAATGTCATAAGCTAATTTAGGAAATAATTTACAAGCGCGGCGATAAAAATCACTGATTTAGCGTCTACAACTTGGCGAAGAGATAATTTCCCCCTTGTGAGCTAGACTGAGATGGTAAGCGTTCTCTTTATGCTCGGGTGTCGTTGAAGCGATGATAATAACCTAGGGGATCATTTCACCAAAATTTCACCCACTTTGATTTATTTCTTTATTTTAACCTTTTATTCGCCATTTTTAAAAATCGATTTAGTCCGGTGCAATCGTGAATAAAAACATTGTGTTAAGTGACTGTGATCAACCTAACAATAGTTGTTTTAGTGCCACATATCTCCGAAGTTGTTGACATAGTTGAAAAGTTTGGAGAAAAGAAATTCTTCATACTTTATCAACTGCGATCTTAGAAGGCAAGGTTTCACAACTGGGAGGCTTAATACAGCTAAAACTCTTTTAGCGACCAGGCTAATTAATGACGTGGCTGAGAAGAAAGCTAGACATTTGAATATGCAGGACATAGGTATACGATTGTTCTTTCTCCCGCCGGTTACACCAGTTGACTTGTCTAGGTTTGTTTACAACAAACGCAAACACAGCTTTTTGATCTCACGCAAGGGGTTGACTGCGATTACTATGATAGTCAACCTGTGTTCTGAATGATTCCACCTCTCTGTTTGTCTCAGTTACGGCGCCTTATAGATGAGGGAAGTAATCAGCAGTCCATCTAAAACTTTTTGTTATGCAATAAAAAAGAGGCTAGATTATTCTTTTATCCCAGCCGCATTTGACAATGAATAGCGATTGGTATCGGTCTCGTGAACATACATCAATTGTTTGATTTGGTAAGCATCGTTTCTTCTTTTGTAGAAAAAAAAAATTATATAAAATTCCTGCCTGCCTTCTTTCCTTTGTCCCATTGCTGTCCTTGGTTCCTTCGTTCCATTAACTGACCCGCAACTCTATTCTTATAACACGTTATACCTAATATATGCAGTGTAACTTCGATCTTGGACAGAATAAAATGGTACAGCAAACCTCTATTCCCCTGAAATCAAAGAGGAAGTCGCGCGAGGTCCAAAACGCGCCATTTTCCCATCATTCTATTTTGTCCAAGGTTGAACAGGTAGATACATAGGCCAAAGAAGGAGTACATTACATTATAAATTACCCCATGTTACGGTACACTATTCTAGGACAATGGGTTGCATTACTTTACATTACATCCATGCAAGTAACCTACGTTTATTCGAGTTTATGGTGACATATTCTGAATATGCTCTTCTTATTGCTTCTTAAACACTCTTGGGAATGGCACAAAGTGTCACGTTCGAGCGTTGCCCTTGGGTAATTAATCATTTTTGTCAACTGATCGGTAGTAGATTTTTCTTTGCATTTCTACTCTATGTTGCAATGACGTTTTGCACAAAAACATGTCGTCTAACGTGAGGAGATAAAAAATACATGTAGACAAACTTAAAAGCAGAGCCTCTGTTAGTCTATGCTATGTCGGGGGTATTAGGCGTTAGCTTATTAGATCAGTATTATACCTGAAACTCCAGAAGTGTACTTTTTTACAGTGGTTCGCAAATGAGGGGAGCATGATAGGGATGCTTACAGTAATCCCAGTCTTACTCCTCCACCACCCACACCTCCTCCTCCCCCCCCCCAAGTAATGAGTGACAGAAATTATAGGAGCCATCAGAAGGGCAAAAAACGTTTATAAACATTGTGTCCAACAGAAAAGATAAATTTCACGGAGCCTTTTTGATCCCACTTTAGAACTTCCGGCTGATCTGCAAGTTAGCTGCATCCTGTACAATAAAATTCAAGTGTAATTTTCGGTTTCTTACAATGAAAACCCAGAGTTACATGCAGACGGTAACTATCATCTGATTGTCATGATTCGAACTTGGTTAAAAGGATTTTTTTCCCGTCATTTCATCGGCCCACGTTATGTTTGAATCACTATTAAGGACAATGAGCTGCAGCGAATTTTATTAGCTACCTCGCCTAAGGCAAAAATTGACGCAACGAATGAACTTTCCCCGCAATGCTTTCAATTTTCCATTTTTTTAAATTAAAAAAGAGATATTAATTTCCAATCTATGTGACGTCAAAGTCTACATAAAATGTTGTTACATATCCGTGGTGTGCAATTTGTTTTTGTTGTGTTGGTGACAGAGGTAAAATCCTGCATCATCAACTTTCACGCCTAAAAAAAGAAGATCTGCTTCTCTCACTGGCGAAAAGTCCCAACATCTCTTCTAGACTTGTAGGTTAGTGAAACTTTATTTTCTCTACGGCCTTTCCAGCCCCAAGAGCTTGAAAAATCAGTACGCAGGCCTC